TTTTGTTATTTTGAGCCGAAATATGAACAAAGGAATTAATTACTTAAACGAAATCAGAATTTATCTCCTTAACAATGAGAATGTCAATCAAATATATTAGGAATAAAACATAAACGCAACGAAATCTATGTAAAAAGACGACAATGAAGAATTTTAAAAGAAGAATTGAACGCACTCTAACGAAGAGATTAACAAACAAAGTTCTTTTAAAAAAATTATCTAATATCTCTCATTGGACAATTCGAATCCAGATTCATCGTAACATTTAATAAATTTATCAATCTAAATTTGTCTGCAATAAATGGAATGCAAAGCGCAGATCATGCATCTTTAAATTGAAATGTTGAAGCAACTGTTTTATTCTCTGATTTCTCAATTAAGGTAATTTCAGTCTAATATAAAATTCGTTCATTCATTTATTTTCCCCATTTAATTTAGTCCATTCTAGGAATAGGATAAAGTTTAAATAATGAATATAAAGGTTCATAAATGAAATAATCTAGATGCACAGTCACAAGTAATTTTCAGGCCGACTGTTGTAATTTTAATCCTAATATATAAGATCATTCATTGGTTTTACCAAATCAAATTTCAGATGATTCATTGGAATACATTATCCTATGGCCTGAAGCTTAAACAAATAGAATACGATTATTCAGTAAGATGAAACTGTGTCATAGATTTGTCTCACCTATCCAATCAGATTACTAAGAGTAACGCAATAATAAGTCGCTTTACTCATCCTCACCAACAACAAAATTACCAAGAAAATAAAATCACTTTTAAATACTTAGCAATTCAGTGATATCTTTGCCTAAAATAGCACATAATACTTTTTTATTTGAATATTTGTCAATGTACCCTTTTATTTGATTAACTTTAGTTGATTTATTTTAATTTGTTTAAATCAAGCAATTAGTAAGCAAAAATAAAGATGTTTTAGTTCAGAAGCTCAGTTATTAAAACTAAAAATGTGTACAGTCGACTTTGTGAAGTCATAAAATGGAATAAAACACAATTTTTGGAAAAAACAATTCATATTGCAAGCTTCGTTGACTTTTCATAGTTGAAAAGCCGCTTAGCTACTAGCTACTATTCTTGAATGCTTATTTACCCCAAAATGCACAAAAATATCTAGAAGACGTTTAAGGGTATATTATTGTCAGTTTAGAATTGCTTCTATTTTTGTCTTCTTTTCAATTTAATTGTCTAAATATTTAAAACAGTAGGTTTCTACATTCAAATTGTTCCTACGCTATACAAGTTAATGAAACATTCTTATTAGTGCAATAAAATTCTCTATATTTTTTTTATTTTCGCTGAATTTTGAATTAAAATCAAAATAATTTTTCCCTTATTAATCAGAATTGCGTGCAGACAAGTTGAAAAACCTTTAATTGTGAAAAATTTGTACGAGTAGTCTTCGTGAAAGGAAATAAATCAAGACGCATTACTTTATATTCCGTACTTTTGTTCCTTTTGTTTTTTTGGAAAAAAATGAATTTATTTAAACTAATGATTTTGAAGTAAAGAACCACCCAGAAATTGTAATTCTTCAGAGAATACACGACTTAGTCGGGGAAGGTATTGCGTTAAAAGTGTTGTCACGATAGATTATCAAGTAGTTTTACACGAATGAATTAAATTTTAATTAAAATTTTCACTTCATCGGTATCGGTTTGACGATTAATCCTTGCATTGTAGGTGTGAAGTTAAATTAAGGAATAAATGCAGTTCAAAAATCAATTTGAACTTTAATAGATTTTGGTATGGCAACGAGAATTTGTGTTTATTTCCACATTGGATGATTTATAAATAACTTAAAGGTCAAAAATTCTTGACTTAATTGTGTAGCTATATCTGAGGCTTTTGTTTCACTAGTAATGAAATGATATGCTAATTTACATATTGAGATACCATAATGTGAGTCGACGTAAGAGCAATCTATCCTCTTATTAAATGTACTAGCATTAGCTATTAAGTTGCTTGTACAATTAGACTCTTATTAGTTCCAATTTATTCATAATACCCACTTATTCACTTTTGTTATTTCTGCTGGTTTCTCAAAGAAGTTTGGCAGTGTTTTTAATAGAGATTAAGGCCCTGATAGGGTCAAAAACCCAAATTCCTCCACTCTACTAGATCTTAACATATTAAATAACATATTTTAATATGACAAAATTAGCATACCCCGATTTATAACACATTTTATTGGTCCTAGTGCCCTATTATGCATATCTTATTAAAGGCAACAATAAATCAATATTTTCAATCAAGCGAAAAGGATTTAATTCCTTCCAAATCACGTTTATGACTCATTGCAAATGGCAAACTTAAAGAAACCGAAACTTAAATTGACTTTTCCGAGGTATCTTTGTCGTTATATTGATCTCAGCATGTGCGTAAAAAAATAGGCACTTTGGCCTTAAGTGTTCAGGTCTAAAAGAAGCTATTGTTGACATGACAATTTATGAGACAATCCAAGACGTTGACACGTTATCACTTCCTTTAACTAGGGAATTGAGAGGGGTTAATCCGTTTCATAAAAATAAAGATAACAATGTCAAAATTTATCAAAAAATCTGACAGAATATATAGAAATAAATTAACAATATTAGTAAAATTATCTTAAAAACATTTAAATATAACCACTAAATTGTCCTTGAAAAGGCAGGAATCGCCGATCATGTTACTTAAAAGCAAAAGACATTTGTAAATATTGCTGTTGAGATTTTACTCATTCTATTCTAAACAGTTCAATGCTTTAATTCCGATTATTGTAATGAATTGTCTACCGAATTGTTAAATCAAACGATTCCACTTTGAAGTTTTTTTAAATTTTTCCACTTAGTTTAAAGGTCAACTCCCTTTGGAAAATGTAGCCAATCCCAAAGGGAAAAAAATGCGGGCTCATTGAAACGGGTTGCTTGATGGCAGGTAAAATTTGGTCGATTCGTTGTCTTCCAGATCTCAAATTTGTCAATAATTTTAGGTGTTTCCTGAAAAGTTAAAAATTAACATTTGTTGAAATAACTTCAAGAAAATGGAGTTAATCCATTTTAGATTAAAACGAATCACATTTAATTAGAAAAAGGCAAATCTCTCTTTTTACGGGATTTCAACAACCATTTTTTCTACTCTTAACACTTCGTATCGTCATGTTGCCGTAGAAACGTCATTAATTTAAATAAAGAATATATTTAAATCTAAACGAGTTGTATTCCAAAAATATAATTTGATTAAACCTTAAATAACTCCATTTTGCCGAATTAATCCAAAATCCTGATAACAAAATTTCTCCTTTTAGTGTGCGTGAAAAAGTCTTAAAAATAAATGAACATTTGATCACGTCTATATATATGTTGATTTAAACAGATAGTTATGTGCAGCTCAATAATACTAAGCAATGTTTAACCCAGAAATATTTCTAGAGTTTAAGTCAAATAATTCGAATGTATAAAATCAAAAATGAAATCTATAGGTTTAGCATGGTTTAAGTCAAAATTAAAATTTATCTATTTTGATTTGGTTAAAATTCATGACATTGATGTAAGCTTTATGCACTTATTCTTTATTTTCCTAACGTTTTTATGATTGTCGTAATTCCTTCCTGTATAAAAGATGGTTGTTGTATGACTAGCAAATAAATGTAATTAGCTACTTATTAACAATATATTAACTTAGTTAAAATTACTAATTAACATATGGCGATACTTTTCAGTATATTTAAGATTTGCTAGACTGATTGATTAACGGATGGTTCTACTAGAAATATAATAGAAATAGTCACCATACTCTGGCTTGATAGGTTGCAAGATTGTTCAGAATATACAATTGTGCGCTTTGGCATTGAATTATCTACTTTACAACTTTGGTCATACTTAAATGAATTTCATATCAAATTTACCAATTCGTGGTCACCTGGAGCATTAAACTAGGTTGAATTATTTAGGGTTTCATTTCACATTCTTTCCCCATCCGATTGGCCCAGATACAGTTTTGACCCGGGCAATAGTACCGTCTCTCCAACAATTCTTACACCTCTCCTCACTGTAAATGTTCAATACACAAAAACCCGTTCAAAATTCATTTTTAACTGTTTTTTTTCTAAAATAATTGCAAAAATTTTATGTCAATGAAAATACCCACAAATTGTGATTCTTAAAATCGGAGGATTTCCAGAAAGATAAAAAATCAAGTTAAATTTTTAACTCTTAGAAATCTATTTTCATCTTAAATACAGCTTACGCCGTTACTTGTTTATCGGCGTCTATTGACCAATTAACAAAAGGAAGCCATGCAAATATGCTCATTCTCATCTGTAATTCAAAAGTCAAGATTAGCAATCATGGATGCTAGACAACAGAGTCCAAAATATCTCCACCAAACAATTGACTCTACCTTCAAATTGACTAATGCAGTCAACTGGATTTCAGTAAGTAAAGTTAATCAAATTAGTTGGGTAAATTTTCTGCAGGAAGTCTCGTTACAAATTCGTATAAAAAACCCCATCTTAGATATGGCTTACACCAATGAGAACAATGTAATGATTTTACCATTTTTTCATTAACTTAAGCTAAGATAGCCGTAGACGCAGTTTAAGGGGAGTCTTTTAAGACACCGCTTTGAATAACGAGGACTGATATTATTGATAGTCATAGTCATTTACCCCTTTCTATTGACCTTAAACAGCAAGTATTTTGCGTGTTATTTTAAGTATAATATAATATATATAAAATAATATAACGAAATTAAGAAAAAGTGGTAGAAACGTCATTTTGTTTTGAATAAAATATGACAGTCAGGAGGGAACTTACAGTGAAATATTTAGTTTGACTATTTTAGAATATTTTTTGCTATTTTGTAAACAAAATATGCCTCAAACTTAAAATTAAAGAAATATTTGAATTAATTTACAGTGAAGAAATACACTAATGCCAAAATACTCGTTGGGTGTCCTCTATAATCCTTTGAAAATAAATAGTAAAAACTGACTTCATTCAAAAATGCTTCTACTAAAAAAATAAAATGTTATTGAATAGAGAGATAACTAAATGAAGTATTGAAATTGCATTTAAATTTATGATAACTAAAGGTGGGAAAGATAAACGGTTGGAATTCGAGCATTGTCGTGATTAGAAATAGTATGCCATTAATTGTGTGAGTTAAACCAATCAATTCAATAAAGAACCAAACAATTCACCATAACGATTTAATATGATTAAGGGATAGTGAAGGAAGGTAGAGATCTTACTCGAAGTCCTTCAGCCGATTTGACTGATATTTCCTCCATGTACATGTAGGAACCGTTAACAGCCACAATCCTCGTATATCCATAGTCGTCCGAGCGGAAAGCTGAATAGTCGGGTGGATTTCTGACAAAACCTGTTTGACCCTCATTGTTTCCCGCTGCGCCGGCAACAATGTGAATCGGTCCAGTTGGATCGGAGTAAGGATTAGTGTCTCGGGCAGGGCATTTCTGCAATTTATAATTAAAATCCCTCCATTACTTGGGTGATAAAATTAATGCTAGATTTTGGAGATTACAAAAACTTAGCATTCCGTTTATTAAATCATTTTTTGATGAGTTTTTAAATAACTTGTACACTATTTTTGAAAGTCTGACCTTAAGGCCACAGTTTGCTTCCAAGATGAATGAAGAATAATATTTTCAACTAATATAATAACTGGCTGTACACGGTAACCAAAATGCCCGTTAACTATGCTGTTAACTATGAAACACAGCGTTAATACTCAATGATTTTTCTCAAACTGCAAAAGCATAATTCATTAACTTCTGCAAGATGATTCCTTATCCCGTCTTTATTTTAACTTGTAAAGGTCGGTAAATAAAGTTTATGTGATAGACCTTCGAAATTAGAACATGAAAATTTACGAATAATTGCATCAATTGAGAATAAACCATTACTGAAACTTAAGTATATTCAAAACTATTATTTGTGATAATAATAGCGCCAAAAATAAGAAAAAAATGATGTTTCGGGGTTAATCTTTTAAATTCTGTATAGTTGATAACAAACCGCTGGAAAATAATTATTTTAGTATGAAATACTACGCACTCTTATCGTTGTTGGGCAGTTTATTATTAAGAAATTTAATAATTTTGTTTCCTAGACATTGGTCTGTCATTGTAATTTTCACGTAACGCCCCCCCCCCCAACCTCTCCACTCTCAAATCTCAGGGGAAAAACTGACGTCAGTGGGACATCGGAAAATAGATTTAAATAAAACTTTATATATGTTTGTAAAAATTTTAAATAGTCCAAATTCAATTAGGTAGTAAAACTTTTAAATCAAAAATTTTTCTTAGGCGGTAAATAAGTTCATTGAATCTTTCCATGGGTTAATTTAACTTAAACAGAACAATAGACTATTAAATGGTCTTTGCTCAAGCTGTGATCACAACGGACGTAGAAACAATGAATCTTAATTCCTCTATATAGAAAATGGCCAGTCTTTTCACTGAATTTTTTTATTCACTTTGCTGATGGCGTTAAAGATCTACCTAATGCATTCAATTTACGGAGAAATTGAATTGTGAAAGTGAATTGAAAAAAGGTCCGGCGAAGGATGGTAATGCCGGTTGAAAGTACATCAGGTAGAAGACATTGACTTATAACGACCTTGCCCTAACCCTTTTCACAGTTTTTTACAAAATCGTGTTTTCCAACTTTGCTGATTCATTATTCAAAAGCCTAAAAGGGTTCATTTTAAATCAATTTCCTCATGATTTTTATTTTAAAAATTTATGCTTTACGAAGTACTTTTACTTGAAATCTTTTGTTTACCCTAGTGAAAGATATTTATTTATTTATATCAAATGGCAGGCATCTTGATGGTTATCATTTGCCCTTTAGTTGACTTCAGGCTTCACAGAGGGGAAGGAACACCAAATTGAAAATAGTCGAGAGGGGGGGGGAACAGAAGAGTGTTTCAAAGATGTAAAAGAAACAGACGCAAAGGTAGAACAAAGGTGAGGTCAATACTGTGGAAATAGTGGAATATGGCATAGAGTGAAGTGATGGTAGTTTGAAGTGAGAAGTCAACTGCCAGTTAATAGACTTTTTTGCCGTATGAATATACGTTGCCCAGGGTGCACCACGTGGAGGTAAGTCTATCGCACACCGCAGTGATAAGATATAAACTCCAGTGCTTAACTATTTTTTCCAGCACTTGTAATGTAAGTATCATTGCTAAAAA